ATTAAATGAATATAAGATAAATTAAAAAATTATTAGAAGTAATAAATAATAAATGTAAGTACTGTATTATATAATAAGAAATGATCAAGTGCTTAAAATCGAGGAGTGGAGAAATGTTAGTGAAACACAATGTTTGAAATTGTTACTAAAAAGAATCAACTATGCTAAATAATTCATTAAAATCATAAACCTACCTATCAATAATATTATAAATCTACTCAAATCATTAAACTACCTTCTGTTGAAGATTGTAAGAGAAATGCCAATTGAAACTAATCAAAATTGTTTTTTATTCTAGTTTAAAAAAAAACAAATACAGAAGATAGTGTTTAAATAATTTTACCTTATTATACAAAACATATAAAAACAAAAAAAAATTATTTGCTTAAATATGAGGATATTACTCTGGTTGGAACATAACCCAGTAGAATATAATCCAGATATGATTGAAATGTTCCTAAAACTGTGCAATCAGATAACATTCAAATGACAAAATTTAGTTGATAGCTTAGCTTATTATTTAAGCACATTTGTTTGCTTATATAATAAACTAAATGGTTTATTTGCATTATAGGATGAAAAAGTTTCAGGTAAAATAGATGCAAGTGATAAGAAGAAACTTGAAGATGCTATTACGGAAACCATTACATGGCTTGAAAACAATCAAGAAGCTGAGAAGGAAGAATATGAACATAAACAGAAATCACTTGAAGAAATCGCTAACCCAATAATGATGAAACTTTATGGCGGTGGTGCCGCCGGTGGACCTGGAGGTTTCCCAGGGGGTGCACCAGGAGGCTTCCCCAACGCTAGCGGTGCCCCAGGTTCTGAAGAATCCGGACCAACGATCGAAGAAGTCGATTAATTACACTTTGCACATAAGATAGACTACCTTTAATATTTGAATTATGAACATTGATTCGCGTAGCTTTATTCTTTAAAAATGGTATATTTATTACTACAAAAATACTACAAAAGTAATAATGCTAGATAATATATACCTTTACAGTATTATGTAGACGTGGTTTGCTATGTTGATTGAAAAACACATTTCTTTATATATATATAATATAAATATAAATATTCTCCATGCTATAGTTTATTTTTCTGCACATAAATTTTACTTTTAAAAATAAAGGTTTTTTAATCGATTGTATGATATTAAATAAAGGTCATTTCGCATGATTAATCGGACAATAT